ACCCCAAGCTCAACTGCAAGTATCCCTGGACAGGCCCCTAGCCCTCCTTATGGTACAAAGCCAAAGCAGAAAGGAGCACTTGGATGCATGTAGGGAACAAACCCACAATGCTCCCAAAGGCCAAGCTCACAGCCTTGCAAGTTGTTCACAGCAGCCCCCCCCCCCCCCCCCGAAATAGCCAGATGGCCTTTCCCAGTGTTTGGCTGATGGGGAGTGGTTGGAGTGGGGGCTGGGCCTAGAGGCAGGGGTAATTGGAGCTGTCTACCTTACTGAGCATAGGCTCTCTTTCTGGCCCTCTAGGAGGTGTTTCGGCAGCACTGGGGGCTGCAGCTCCTGGCCCTCGTGGAAGAGGTGCTACCCCGCCATGGTAGTGGCCAGCACGGGGACTGGCACATCTCCTTGAGCAAGCCCAGTGAGAAGGAGCAGCACCTTCTAATGACCTTGGTGGGCGAACAGGGTGAGCGGGGGTGGAGGGGCACTCACAGGACTGGGGTGTTGGCCTGTCTGAGGAGAGGGTCCAAGAAAGCAGTGGGAGGCAGGCCAAATCAGCAGACATTTCCCAAAGCCATGAGAACTCTCCCGCAGAACTGTGGAAAAATGCAGCTTGGGATTTTGGATATAGAATGGGCTTTTAGGATAGCAGGATGAGGTGCTATTTGAACTCCCTAGTTTAGGATCCAGGAGTACTAGCAAGCTTGGAGGCAGGAGGAGGAGAAAGGTGGGAACATTGGGAATAGGAGGGGGAAGAGGTATAGTTTCAGTACAGGTGCCAGACAATGGCACTGTATACTTTGAAGTGGACTGAGAAGGAATGTGTTGAGAATGTAGCCTTAAGAAGCTGTGGAAGTGACTGTCTGGTATCAAAATTGTCACTTAGCAGGCACTTACTAAATCTTTTTAATGAATCAATCAGTGGGCAGCAAGCAGAGGAGAGAGTAGTTGTGCATGCACCATGAGATCTATGTGTGGTCAGGAGCCAGGGAGTGAAGCTCAGGTCAGAGGCTATCCAAGGGGACCAGGAGTCTGCTGGGGGAGTGCCTCAGTGGCTAAGGTTGTATTGATGATGATGTTTTTCACTAGGGGTGGTGCCCACTAAAGATGTCCTTTCTATTCTGGGTGATATCCGAAGGAGCCTGGTGGAGGTAAGAGGGCAGGGGTGAGTTCCCCTTCTGTTCCTTAAAGCTCTGTGAGCAGGGCTGACTCCCTTGAGGGCAGGAGGGTGGCCTGTACCATGTGGTTTAAAGGAGCAAAACACAGATTCTTGCTCTGTGGCTCATCTTTTCAGATCTCCTATGACAGTTCCCATGGGAGAGACAGAGTGTACAAGCACTTAACTATCAATTGCGCTGTGCATAGGACAGTTAGGGGATAGTTAAGTGGGAGTTTTCTGGGTAGACAGTGGGATAAACACTATGTCTGGCCAAGGAACTGTTTAGAACCCTGGTAGATTGGAGAATGTTCTGTGGCTCCAGAACCACAAAAGAAAGCACAAGAGGTCTGGGCATTTCTTTAGAAACCATGGGAGTCTGCAGTGCTTGGCCAGCTGGGGCTGAGAGGTGGGGCTCAGGACATAGCAGACAGCCCTGCCTTTTTGAGATTCACCCCAACCCAGTCTGGCCCATTCTGGAGACCTTGGCTGAGGAGATAGGCTGGACACCAGTGCAGGGTGAAGCAGAACCATGGCTGATGGGAGGGACAGGGCCCCATTTTTCTTCCTGCTCCTCATCCACTTCTCTTCTTGAGGACAGAAAACCCCTTTCACTCAGTGTAAAATCCAGTGGTCTGTCATCAGTCCTCCTTCTTATTGAGGGCTATGCAATATTTGACAACAAAGGTGAGCTGTGCATGACTGTGGTCCTACCTCTTCATTTAGTACACTCAAGGTTAAGGGGTGGATTCTGTGAGATGTTTTTTAAATTTGCATTTTGAATCCTTACTGAGTGCCAGACTGTGCTTGGTTCCCTCACCACCATCTCAGGACTTGTGAGCATTAAGTACTATTAAGCACCCTATTGAGTACTATTGGTACCCCATTTAAGGTTAAGGCTGAAGCCCAGGGAAGGGTAGTGACTCACCTGAGATTGCACAGCTAGTAGTGGTAGAGTCAGGATTTGGACCAGGCCTGAATGATTATAGTAAGGGTTGCTCCAGCTGTGAACATCTGGGTTTGTGTACCCCAGGAGCTGGTGGGACAGGCTGGACTTAACCTTTTTTTTTATAGACTCTCCTGACTTTTCTCCCAGCCGCTGAGTGTTCTGGCTTTACTGGATACTTCAATGCTGACTGACGTGGCCAAAGGCATGCCGGGCTTTTAGAAGCATATTAGTGGGAAAATTTAGCAAGCAGGAAATATGTATCCTTGATAACAAAAAGTCAATAGAGGAAGGTACTAAAAATATACAGGTGGTTCACAGAAACCAAAGAAGACCTGAATACCTGGCATTAGAAAGGGGAGTGCAAGGCAAAAAGGGGGCTCCCAGGTCTTTGCACTAGGAGCCAGGAGAGAACACCTTCATCCTGGCACCTGTCTTCTGAGGAGGACACCTCACCTTCTTTGCTCCTTTCCTGCCTGGGTGCTGATTTAGGGAGAGAACATCAGCTGAGCTGGGTCAGGGCATAGCACCCTCTGGGCCAGAGAAAGCAGGCCCACCCAACACAACCTGCAATGTGGGAGTGAGTTTGGGCAGCTAAATACTATTGGTGATGACTCCAGTGGGAAAAGGGAGGAAGCTGGGGGGCTAGGGTGGCCCATGATGTGGGCTGTCCCCAGCATCTCCTGCACTGTCTCTGGCCCATAATGATACTAGAATACCCACCTCCCCCCGAGGTAGAAGTATCCCAAGGGACTAATTCAGTGGTGGTGTGTAGTGGAGAATGTGTGGCAAGGGGATTAGCTGCCCTTATGTTTTCTTCTTTTTTAAACTATGGGACAGGTATAGGGACTGTCTAGTTTGGATTATGACTGGCAGCATGGGGATGGGCAAACTCAGTGGGGGGTCAGGGTCACAACCAGATGGATTTCTAGTCAGACTTCTTTCCCAGCAAGGTCAGGGTCAGGGTCAGGCAGTGCCATGGTGGGGATGTGAGTGGAGGCAGGAAATGGAAATGTGAGGTACAGAGGCTTGAAGCTGCCCCCAGATGAACAGGGCAGGAATAGGGCAGAGAGTCCCTCATGAGCACAGGAGCCAGGAGTGTGCCAGCTGTTTCTCAAAGCCTATCCCTGATCTTAAGCCCCAACCCCAAGTGGGTGGGAGTCATGGAACCCCGGGACCTCAGCTGAGGAGCCTGGCCCTCCCACCTCCAGATTGGCATCCAGAACTACTCCACAACAAGCAGCTGCCAGGCCCGGGCCAGCCAGGTGCGTAGTGACTACGGGACACTCTTTGTGGTGCTGGTGGTCATCGGTGCCATCTGCGTGATCATCATTGTGCTGGGCCTGCTCTACAACTGCTGGCAGCGCCGACTGCCCAAGCTCAAACATGTGGTGAGCGCAGGGGCAGGTGGGGCAGAGGTTGTGGGCTGGGGACAGTGCTGGTAGAGATGGGAGTGCCCAGCAAGCTCTGTCATCTGCAGACTCAGTGTCTTCATTTCAGGTGGGCTGTCAGTAATTGTCCTGGGATGGGACACTGCGAGTGAGGCCATTTGTCCAGTGCCTGCATCTCAGTGGACCTTCTGTGCAGGGCACCAGTCCCACCCGCAGGAGCCCTCCATGGCACCAGCCCTTCCTGGGGCAGAGTGGCCCTGCAGGCCTGAGCTCATCTGGATGTCTCACCAGAGAAGTCCTGGGTCAGCAGTATCCAGGGGTCAAGAAAAGACTCCCCACAAAGGAAAGGGCAGGGCAAGACTCCCATTTTTCCTGGTAGTACCCTGGAGTCTATAAGGAGGCTGTTGGGTGGAATCAGGCTTGTTTAGTCAAAGAATCAGTAGAATTATTTTAAGAAAGGAGTTGGGCTGTGGAAACATAACTGCAGGGAAGAGGCGTCTGTTGAGGGTCCCTGGGGTTCCCTTTGTAGGGTTTTACAGACCAGGGAAGGAGCAATGAACTGACTTGTTCAAGGTCACAGGCCAGGTCAACGGGACACATATGTGCAGCTGGTGGGTTGGGCCGGGGTCGGGCCGGGGCCAAGGCGCTTGCCCAGCAACCTGGTCCCGGCCCGCAGTCTCACGGCGAGGAGCTGCGCTTCGTAGAGAACGGCTGCCACGACAACCCCACACTGGATGTGGCCAGCGACAGCCAGTCGGAGATGCAGGAGAAGCAACCCAGCCTGAACGGCGGCGGGGCCCTCAACGGTCCCGGGGGCTGGAGCGTGCTCTTGGGTGGCAAGCGGGACCCGGAGGACTCGGACGTGTTTGAGGAGGACACGCACCTGTGAGGGCGCACGCTGGCGCTGCGCTGGCACAAGCAAGGTGGACCCAGGGCACGCAGTCGCGCCCCCTCCCTCCTGACCTGCGCTCTCCTGCAGCCTGGTGCCGGCTCCGCCTGCTCCCCACCCAAAACGGTCTTGGCATAGCCCTCCCCACCCACACCTGACATCCCGAGGAGTGGGTCCCGGGACCCCCATTAAAACAGCCCGGAGCCCACACCGGGCCCAGTCTGCCCGCCTGCCCGACTGGTTTTTGCTGCGGGGGTGGGTGCTGGTGGGGTGGGCAGAACGGGCGGGGCAGTGGGAACTTTGGGGGCAGGGCCGGCCTGTTTAAGTCCGGCTTGTAGCAGTCAGCGCTGCCTGTGACAGATCCACGCGTGTCCACCCCCTCCGCACCACGGATATCAGCGATCTCTTCGCCAGCTGGGAGAGTGGGCCAAGTGCGGTGAGGACCCCGCAGCCCCGCGGAGCTGCGCCCTCAGAGCGCCTCTGTCCCGGCTTGTGAAGGGTGCAGTTAACCATGGAACGGGCCGGGCGGTGACTTGGCTTCAGCACCCGACCCACCAAAGACCATTCGCCAGTAGATGGGGGGGGGGGGGGGGGGACACGACACCTCCGCAGCATTACAAGCGGGGCATGCGGGGGCCGGGTGCTGGTGGTGGTTTACTCCGGGGTAAGGGGTAGGACTTCCTGGAGAAGACTGCCACAGGAGGCTGGCAAGAGAAGTGGGCGGAGAGAAGGAGCACTTGGCGCCAGACTGGGGCAGACCTGGGACTCCTGATGTGGTTCCCCTCTCTGATGCCTCTGGACCTGGCGTTGGTAACACGTAGGGCCCAAAATCAGCCACTGGTCACCAGGGATTCGGAAATTTATAAATGCAGCTCTGAAATCACCATATCCATGGCTTTGGTGGGATGGCAGAGAGTGCCTCTTTGGGATGTGGGGAACCTCTCTTCCTTGGCCCTTCCTTCTCCATTACTTATTTCCACAGGTTACCTGGGCCCTTCCCTCATATCAGGTGCCAACTAGGAGTTAGTTGGTAACTCCCAAAGCTGAATGCTATTCAGCACTCCTTGGTTCAATCTGGATGTTCCCCAAGGCTGCCCTGCTCAGTGATGGCTCCACCACCATCCATGAGGACCCCCTTAACTTGACATTCTATTGGCTGTCTCCTGACTTCCACCTTCTAGAATCTGTCTGCTTCTTTTCATGTGTCCACACTACCAGAATTCCAACAAGCAACTTCTTTGGTCCCCTTGCCTCCTGCCAACCTAACTTCCCCAAGCTGCGAGAGGGTCCTGGCAGAAAAAGAGCCCTCATCACTTCCTCATCCCAAATGCCTTCAGGCCAGTCTCAGCCTCTTCAGCTCTGAGACCTGGCCTCTGATGTTTAGGGTCTGCCTTTTGTGTTCCCACTTCCACATGTTTCTCACTGTTCTTTTTGTTTGGAATGCCTTACCTGCTCTGGTCAGCCTGTTGCTTGCCCTCATCTGGGGGAGACTTCCTTCAGCTAAAAAGAATGTCTTCTGTCTTTCCCCTTTCATAGGTCTCCTTTCCCAGACTATGCTCTCCCAGGCCCCTCTCCTCATAAGCCTGTCTTGAACCAGGCTCTGGCCTCCCCCTTTCCTGCCCAGGTACCTGCTGGAGCAGGGAGAAGTGGGTGTGAATGTATGGGACTAGTGCAATAGCACCCCCTTGTGAGTGCCAGGTGGATGAGTAGTCAGAATGGGTGGAGCAGCCCCTTCAGTCCTGACAGCTGCCTCCTAGTACTCCTTCCTTCACCCCTTCAGGTACTGTGTCTGTTTAAGTGGGCATGAAGAGCTGGTATTCTACCTTCTGGCCAGTGGTGAAGTGCTACACATTTGCAAACACCCTTGAGTCCTCTCCCTCACGCCTACACACAGCCAGTGAGTATTGTGCGCTCTACTTTCAGAACCTATTCTCTGTCCACTTTCCATCTCTACTGCTCCTGCCCAACTCAGCTACTGCACCTCTCCCTGGACCATCTCCCTGGATATAGTGCCAATCATATCACTAGTTTTACTGCTGCCCCTTCGCCCCAGCTAGTTTATTTTCTATATTGTAGCCAAGTGAAGCTCAACAAATGTGATGGGCTTATTAAAATCCTCGGATGGCTTCTCACTGTATTTAGCATAGAACTAGAATGCCTTGCTTTTCCTGAGAGCTGCTACATGACCTGCTCCTTCCTCTCTGGCCTCTCTTCTTTGGTTCTCCCAGGTGCTCACTGTTACAGCCACACTGGTCTCCTCTGTGGTGCCCCAGTGCTCCAAATTTGCTTCTGCATCAGGGCCTTTGCACTTGCTATCCCTCTTGTTTAGACTGCCCTTTCCCAGATCTTTGCATGGCCAACTCCCTCACTTCATTTAAGTCTCTGCACATTGTCACTGCCACAGTGCTTTTCTCTGGTCTTCCTCTGTGGCAGTTGCCATCACTGTCAACCTTTATCTTGCTTGCTTTGTTTTTCTTCATAGCACCTGATATCATTTGTTTATCTGTTTATTGTTCTTCTGCCCCACTAGAATGTAACTTCAGTGAGGACAGGGACCTGTCTGTCTGTTAATGGCAGTGTCCCCAGTGCATGGAACAGGGCCAGCCTCTGAGCCTACTCTGTTTTATGTAGTATGTGTGAGTAAATGTGTGTGTGAATGTATAGGACTTTGCCTGTGTGCCTAAGCCCTGGGGTCAGACTGCACTCAGGTCATTTAGGAGGGAGTCTCCAGGAGTATATGCCCTATGTGTGGGGAGGAGGTGAGGAGGTGGATGGAGATTAGGATTTCCCCGGGTCCCTACCCAGCAGCCCCGTGGGCTTGCTAACTGATGAGCCCTGCTGCCCTCAGGAGCCAGCTGTGAGTGATATCATCCACCAGGCGCTGCATGATTATAAGCAAGTAACAGCCTCCTGCAGGAGGCAAAACTACTATGACAGCTTCCTGCAGTGGTCAGATGGAGCACCAGGGATCTGGATGGCCTTTGCCCAGTGGGTCTGTGATGGGCATGGGCTGCATGGAGCTGAGATCTCTCTTACAGAATGAGATGGGGGAAGAGTAGTGAGACTGAGGAGAGGTACTCTGCTGAGTCCCCCTCCACCTGTCCAGGCTTCTGTATCAAGGCATCCAGTGATATGCTTTTCATAGTGCACAGACCTTTCTGGACCCATTCTGGGTGCATGCAGTGCCTTCTTTGCCAACACACTGGACACCAGATGTAAGGGCAAGAGCATCGTGGTCCTCAGGCACTGTGCATTCCTCCCTGGGGTAGGAGAGCAGGGGGACAGTTGGGGGATTGTGCTGGGCCATGCTTCTGACCTTCCTTCCCAGCTCTCTCTGCCTGCAGATCAGCCCTGTGGCCTTCAGGGCCCTGCTGCAGTACCTGTACACAGGTGACCCCCTCAGACTTGGGTTGGGTGGACAGGGAGGGGGCTGCGTTTCTGTTTAACAGCAGACCTAGCTATGGTCTTGGGCCGCTGGTGCTTTGTCCCTGCAGTGTGAGGCAGTTCTTGTTGTCTCCTGGATTGGGTTGGGAGACAATGAGCTGGTCTATCTGCTAAGCAAGAGCTTGTTTCACCCACAAACTAAGCCCCCCTTTTATCTGTTCTGAGGTCTGTAGAACTCAGACAGTGGCTCTTGATTAAGGCAGCATAGGCCCAGAATTCCCAGTCCTGCAGCCAAGTATCTGAGTGGAATAGACCACCTATGAAACTATGTGCCTGGCCCTGGCCGGTTTGGCTCAGCGGTTAGAGCGTCGGCCTGCGGTCCTGAGAGACCCGGGTTCGGTTCCCGCTAAGGGCGCGTACCTCGGTTGCAGTTTGTCCCCAGCCCTGGTCGGTTGTGCAGGTGGCAGCCACTCGATGTGTCCCTTCACATCGATGTTTCTCTCTCTCTCTCTCTCTGTTCCTCTCTCTCCCTCCCACTCTATCTGTACAAAAAATGGAAAAATGTCCTCGGGTGAGGATAAAAAAAAAAATTAAAAAAAAAAAAAAAAAGAAACTATATGCCTGGGTACTGCTTATGGCCCCTTTCAGGCTGAGCCTCCTACGCTGCACCCAGGTGGCCTGGACATCAGTGTGGAACACATTAGTGAATGTGAGCACCTGGCCAAGCAGTTCCAGCTGTTATATCTGCTCGATGACCTGGAGGCCAAGTGCAGGGAAGTGTCTGAGTTCTGTGCATCCAGGCTTTGGGGTCCATAGCTTTGGGCAGGAACTGGCAGGGCCAACCTGGCACCTTGAAGCTGCACTGTCTCCTCTGTAGTGGCATCCAAACCAGACACTCATGTGAAGGTTCTGAGCAGCAGGCCCCTCAGAGGACCCTTGGGTTCTGGAGGACCTGACCCTATTGGCCGACTGCGTCCTGGTCCCTGAACTCCCAGTAAGCACATGGACCTGGGACTGGACCTGGTGAGCAGGAGACTTATCTGGAGACAGAGATGTGGTAGGTAAGCCCCACATTTGGGTTCAATTCTTTGTGTGGCTTTGAGCCAGTCACTTTCCTTTTCTGAGCCTAGTTGTTTACTTTTGTTGTCTTGTATTTAAATCTGCAATCTGCCCCTCCAGGACCAAGCTAGAATGGGCCCTTGACTGAGGCCAGCCACTCTGCCTTCTCTCACGTACTCTAATGGCCTCTCTTATCCCATCCCCCAGGACAATCTTGGGGAGCTGCCCTTCCCTTTCCCTGATGGCTTCAACATCTGTTCTGATGTTTGCTTCCAAGTGGAGGGTTGCAGTTTCCTCCGCCACAAGGTGCTGTCCAGCTCACAGCCCATTAACCCCCTGCCTCAAGCGCTAGGCTAGCTTCTCTGGGCACAGCCCTGGCCCTGGCCTTTCCTAAGCCTAGACCCCTGCCCACAGGACTTCTTTTGTGGCTATAGTGACAACTTCTGGGCCCTGCTGGATGACCACTTCTGAGAAAACAAAGGGCTAGAGGCCTCTGGTGGCCTCCCCCAATCACCCTGCATAGTCTCTCTCCCTACGTCTTCACCCATGTGCTTCACTACATATTCAGCAATCACATTAAGGTGCAGGCTAAAGTGGGCTGTGTGCACTGTGCCAGGGGCAAGGGGTGGGAGGGCACAGTGGTCAGCACTACATAGCCCATGTCACTGTGGGGCTTCAAGGGTTTGCCCAGGTCCCGACTGGCTCTGAGGGACATATTTACCATGAGGCTGGAGAGGAAGTGTGGGGCTCATTTCAGAGGGGTCCTCAGTAGATTCCAGAACAGGAAAGAGTGACAAGACCTGTGTCATGAGCACATGACACTTGGGGACATAGTGTCAGCCATGTGAGGTCCCTAACTTCAGCCATAGGACAGTAACCCTGGATTCCCACAATAGTAGGGAGCCCTGAGCCTCCTGCCTTTAGTTTGCTGCAGACTCCTGGGGTTCTTTTCCTCCCTGTGTCTTCACCTGCCCCAAAGCCTCCCTAACACAGGGTGACAGAGTAGGCAGCAGATAGTACCAAAAGTGTTCTCTGCCAGGGTACACGTGTGTGTGTGTTTGTGTGTGTAAATGCCACTGTAACAAAGAAACTCCCAAATATGGTAACTTACAGAAGAGAGAAATTTACTTCTCCTTCATGTGGATCTGAGTGCCCCCAGGGAAGCAATTTGCTGGTTGTCCACTCCATCTTGGGCTGCAGGCCATATCTAGACTGTTTTGTAAATGGATTTTCACTGGAACAGCAATACCCATTCATTTCTGTGGCAGCTTTTGCACATGGTAGAGCTGAACAGCTGTGACAGAAACCCTATAATACACAGTACTTAACCACCTAGCCCTTTAGAGAACTCCTCCTACCTCCTTATTTCATTTCTCCTGTGGATAGTTCAGCTCCTTGGCCCCTGCCACCTAGTATCCACCCTGGCTCATCCCAACTCCAGAAAGAGCTTTGCCACCCAGAAGGCAGCTTCTTAATGACTCAGAGCAAGGACTTGGGCTCCAAACCTGGGCTGCCCCCACCCTCACCACAGAGCTGTGTGATCTTGGGCTATATACTCAACTGCTTTGTGCCTCAGTTTCCCCCTGTAGAAAATGAGGACACTGATAATTGTTACTTCCTAAGGTTTTGTGCAAATGAATGTGCATGTTGCAAGTACAGTGCCTGGCACAAGTAAGCACCATGCACCATTGCCTGTGATGGGCTTAGCAGAGGTCCTATCTGCTCTATTTCCAGCCTGCTCTCTGTGGCCATGCAAAGTCTGGGCCAGAGCTGAGCATGTGGTTTCTCCTAGCACAGGGTACAACTATGGCTGTGTCCTAAATCCTGCAGCCTCTATGGGTGTGAGGGAGCTAGTAAATAGTTACTCCCCCACCTTTTTAGTAGGGTCCCTGCCTCAGTTTTTCGAGAAGCAACTTGTCACTTTTCTGACAGCCTTTTGAGGCAGGCATAATTGTCTGCATCTCACAGAGGATATGAAGCTCAGAGGTGAAGTGATTTATCCAAGCACAGGCTCTGCCCTGCCTGAGGCATGGGAACCCCAGACTCTTGTGTCCCTTCTAGTCCCACAGGTGGCTGCAGGGATCTGGGGCAGGCACCTGGTAAGGGTAGGGAGCTCCTGCTCTGCCTAAAGCCTCCACTCTCTGCCCAGCAGGTCCCAGCCTTACTGCCGGGCCCTTAAGAGGCCTTGGTGACCTTAGGGTGCACCCTCCTTCATCCATTATTTTACTGCAGGTGCCTAACGAGGTGGCCTGCAACGTACTGAGTATGGCCAACATGTACCTGTTACTGAGCCTGAAACAACTGTGTGGCCGCAGTCTGGCCCAGCTGCTGGATGAGGACAGCATGGTAGGCATGTGGCATGTGGCCAAGCTGTTCCATTTGGCATGCCTTGAGGATCCGTGCACTGAGTACATGGCCAAAGTTATCAAGAAGGTGGACTGGTAGGAGCTTCAGTGGATGGGGGCAGGCTGTGGTGGGTGATGAGCAGTGGCAAGCCCTGAGCCAACCTGTTCACAGCTGGTGGAGCAGGACTTCTCAGAAGTTGTGAGGGATGAGGCAACAGCCGTGGTGGCCCTGCCGGAGTAAGACTCCTTCCCACTGATAGATGATATCATTTTCTCATGACCAGCATGATGCAGACCTACAGTAACATGAAGGAGATGGAGCATCAGTTATACGCACTTGAGGACCTGCTGATGTCCATTGGCCTGGACTGCTGACTGACACTGAGCCATAGGCTCCCTGTGGACTACACATGTGGTTTGGTTGACCATGTGCTCCTTGCACCTTCCAGGGCATTGTGGTAGGTGGAAGAGGCTCACTGGGGCTTCCTACTCTGGTGTGTTTAGAGGTCCCAGGGAGGGTCACCTAGGAATGAGCTCCCTCTGCCAGTGCACAAACCAGCCCCCAAGGCCCTGGGCTAGGCCTGGGGTGGGATCTCTTAACCTCCTTCCCCAGGACCCCCTCCCCACCCCACTTTGGTTCTTCCTTGCTGAGTGCTTCTTAAATCCAAGCCACCTTCTCATAGGCACAGAGATGACCAGGAGGGAGTAAGAGGAGAGTCTATGTGGCAGTAAACCTTGAATTCACTGGGAACCTGAGCCCCAGTGAAAGGGGTGGGGTGGGGATGGGGTGGGGGCAGTTTCTGGAGTTGGGGATCCTCATGGAGAGGTTTGGCTGCCCAGCAGGGTCTCCTCAGGGGTTAGGTAGTTCCCTGACATATGGGCCTTGAGTTGGCAGCCCTTGTTTATGGGAGTCCTAAAATCTCCCAGCTGAGCTCCTCATCACACCCCTCCCCACATTTTAGGACTCCTCTCAGGGCACAGCTTCCCCTCTGAGCTCCTCCTGGTGAAGTTACCCACCCAACTACCTGCCCTTGGGAGCCCTGGTAGATTTTTAGTGGGATAAGACTGACTGAGGACACAGAGGCTGCTTCCCCCTCAGGCCTGATAAGGACTGGCTTCTGAGCCATAAATCTTTTTAGCACTCACTTATTGAGCACTTACTACATATCAAATGTTGTTCATACAGCTGTAGTGTTTAAATTATCATTGCCTTACATTTCACAGGCACAGGGACTGAGGATGAGCCACAGTCAGAACCAGGGAAGAACCCTGGCCAGCCTGGTAGCAGCTTGCTCTGCAATCTCAGGATGAAGGGCAGGGAGAAGCTGATGAAGAGATGTGAAAGGGGGAGGAGACCTTCTGATTGGCTCCTTCAACTTTCCACCCCACTAGCCTCTGGCTGTGTTGGGCCTCATTCCAGGATGGGTACTGTACCTCCATTTTCTCTCAGCCTCTGGCCAGTCTCCTCCTTGAGGAGGGCCTCCTGGCCTTTCCTGCAAGGCTATGACATTATTTGGGGAAGTCAGAGGTGGCTTTCTCAGGATGTCCTTTAGGCTTACAACCCTCCACATCCCCCACCCCACCCCATTTGGTTCCTGAGGCCCAGATGTTAGTGTAGGTAGCTAGATTTTATTAAAGAGCAAAGGGAATCAGACACAGTTTCACCAGGAAGTTACAGCTTCCCACAGTTCCCAGGAAACCACCAGTCCATTCTGCAGATAACTGGGGGAAGGAACAATGAAGAGGGAGGTAAGCACATGTACAGAAGTCAAAATGACAACTATAGAGGTCTGTCAGTCTAGCCTAGGGAAAGAATGGATTGATCAGAGGGTAGACTCATTAGTCTCTCCCCCACCCCCCAAAAAACTTAGGAAATTGATTGATTATTTTGAATAAAGTCCTGGTCCTTCCCAAGCCTGAGATAATATAACTCCAGGGAACAAAGCCAGTGTCTGTCTCTCTCTCTCTCTCTCTCTCTCTCTCTCAACACAAGCTCACCCTGTTCCTTCACACACTCTGTAGCCATGTGGCCTTAGTGGCCCAGTGGCCCAGTGTTCAACAGCCACACAGATTCCAAATGCAGGCTCCAGGCAGGAGCCTGGATACAGCAGCATAGCAATGGATTGCAGCCAGGAACACAAGCTAAGCTAGCCAGATGGTGACAAACTCTGGACTGGACTAAAATTTAATATGGTACAGAATATCTGACATTGGCCCTATTTCCAGCCCCAATTTTCCATGGTGGATGGTCAGCGATGGAACATTGGGAACCCAGGGGCCACCTCTGTTTCCACCCAAATCTTACCACCATACCTTATCCTCCCTTGTGGGTTGCTAAAAGTGCTTTTTCTCTGGACACTGCAAGAACCCACTTTTACCAGCAACACAGAGCCATGCCCCAAGGCCTCTTGGCTCCATCCTGCATTGGAAACAGCAGGCTGAAATCAGAGTGGTGCCCTCAGCCCTGGGGAAACATCAGAAGATTATTGCTCTTTCACAGGCTGAATGCTGGGCATGTTGGCCCTTCCTGCAGTTGTCTCATACCCCACAAGTCCCACGTTTTTACTCTTGTTATTCTCCAGAACTTTGGGGATCTTTTCCTTTCCTTCCCCAGTGCATTTCATTTGTGTTGGTTGTAGGGGAAGCTATAAGGTCTGAATGACCAAGATGAATGGTCAGTTGAATAAGTTAGCATTCAGGCAGGGAGGAGGGGTAGGGACAGGGAGCTTACCAAGCTGACCAGTGGTCTTGCTGGATGGAGGGCAGGGGTTTGTGCAAAGTCCTGGGAGCCTGAAGGAGCCTGACATGAGACTGGAGGGATCAGCATGGCCGGAACCCAGGGCCAGGGCCAGGGCCAGAGGCCAGGAGTTCCCACCCTGGCTCTCTCTTACTGTCTGGTCGCTACTCTGCTTGTTTGCCTCTCTATAAATGGGAGGTGATTTGATAGTAATTCTCTCCTCGCTTGGGGTGTTGAGCTACTATTTGTGAAGGACTCAGAGCAGCACTGGTTGTAATGAGCCTAATATGTTTGTAAATACTGAGCACCTAGAGAGGGGGTATGAGCAGGAAGTGATGGGTTGACTTGCATCTTTGAAATTTCACTCTGGGTTCTGGCCAGGTAGCTCAGTTGGTTACAGTATTGTCCGGATATGCCAACGTTTTGGGTTCAATCTCTGGTCAGGGAACATATAAGAATCAACAAATGAATACGTAAGTGGAAAAATCAATGGTTCTCTCCCTCTCTCTTTAAATATCAATCAATAAATTTTTTTAAAAAATTGAAAGTTCACTCTGGTTGTTCTGGGACACACACATAGGAAGGGTGAGGCCAGGCTAGTGGCCTAAAAGAGGCACAAGTCCCATCTCAGACCACACTAACCTTGCCTGTGCCAAGGTATGTAGTCAGAGGTTTAAACATTAAAAAAAGTTTATATTACTATGCAATTCTTTTAATAGCTATTAGGGGGAAATGAACTAGTACATTAAATTCCTCTCTCTCTCTCTCTCTCTCTGTTTTTACAGATACTATTTGAAACTATCTAAAGTTTCTTTTATAATACATTTTATTTTATTTTATATGTAAGTTTTTTTTTAATTTTTTATTTATTTTTTTGTTACAGATGTTTCTCCTTTTTTACCCCATTGGCACCCCCCACCCCACCGCACCTCCGCCCCATCCCCGGCTTTGTTGTCCATGTCCATTGGTTATGTATACATGCATATAAGTTCTGTGGTTTATCTCTTCCCACCCCCCACCCCCTCTTCTGAGGGATGTCAGTCTGTGCCCTACTTCCATGTTTCTGGGTCTGCCGTATTCCTCAAACTGTTATGTCATTATATTCTGTATATAAGTGAGATCATGTGGTATTTGTCTTTTTCTGCTTGGCTTATTTCACTTCGAATATTTAGCCCTGGCCAGTTTCGCCCAGTGGTTAGAGCATTGGCTCGAGGACCAAAGAGTCGTGGGTTTGATTTCCAGACAAGGGCACATACCTCAGTTCATTCCTGGCCCTGGCTGGGGTTGTGCGGGTAGCAACCTATGATATGTCTCTCTCACATTGATGTTTCTGTCTTTCTCTATCTCTTCCTCCCTCCTTCCCTCCCACTCTATCTGAAGATAAATGGAAAAATACCCTCAGGTGAGGATTTAAAAAAAAAGGAGCCCTGGCCAGTTTGGCTCAGCAGTTAGAGCATCAGCCTGCGGTCCAGAGAGACCTGGGTTAGGTTCCCGCTAAGGTCACATACCTCAGTTGCAGTTTGTCCTCGGCCTTGGTTGGGTTGTGTAGGTGGCAACCACTCGATGTGTCCCTTTTACGTTGATGTTTCTCTCTCTCTCTCTCCCTCCCACTCTATCTGAACAAAAAAAAAAAAAATGTCCTCAGGTGAGGATAAAAAAGAAAAGAAAAAGGAAAGAAACATTACTGTGAGAGAGATACATTGATTGCTTGTCTCCCACACATGCCTTGAACAGGCTGGGGCTCAAACCTGCAACCCAGGTGTGTGCACTTCACTGAGAATTGAACCCTTGACCATTCAGTGCATAGGCCAGTGCTTTAACCACTGAGCAACACCAGCCAGGGCTACAAGATTACATTTATTTATTTATTTATTTATTTATTTATTTATTTATTTGGTATGTGCTCCTAGCGGGACCTGAACCCGGGACTCTGGTCAGCAGGTCTATGCTCCAACCACTGAGCCAGGGCACAAGATTACTTTTAAAAAGGGGCTTATAATTCCATGTATGAGCCCTTGTAATTCTTCTATCCTTCCAGTAAAGAAACTCAATGAAACAGGATGGAGATTTGTACAGAATCCATAGCTATAAATAAAATATTCTCATACATCCTATAGTTCCAAATCCACAAAACCTATTACCAGCTATTTCTGTGGACTGCCAGTATTTTTCAGTGATAGGTTTATAGTGTTTTTGAAACCAGACAATAAACAGGTCCAGGCCCCCTGTCACTACTTGAGCCAATTAAGCAGAGACAAGATTGAATCATATATGAGTGTTTATTCCAAAAATGCTGTCAGTATGGGAGAGAAGCCAGGTCATACTGTAAAATCTGCTCCTTCTTCTCATAAACTAACTGCTTATATTGGTTAGAAGGCCAAAGATTACATGGGGAAGTAGGCAAAAGGAATAACAATGGGTAAAATAGCTAAAGATTACAGGCATGGGGGGAAGTAATGCCTGCTGAGGAATATGGGCGGGGGCCTATGAAGTGTTGTCTCCAGTGCACCACTTCCAGTACTCTAAGGCTGTTAGTCTTTCCATAATGAGGAAGCAGTTCTCAGATTGAGAATGGGCCACATTTCAGAGAATGGGCCACATTTCAAGGTTAACTTCCAGGTCTCAGGGCATACAATTC